GTTGAAAGTGAATCATCTTAAAGAGTAGGTATTGTTTTTCGAATCCCTTTTTCCCAAGGATTTTTCCAGCTACCCCAGCCCAAGGAATTGAAACTGTAAAAAAACAATCAAGTGAATTAACCCTAAACCAACTAATTATGTATCACCTTGGCTAGTCCGTCCCCTTCATTTTCGGCGAGGGCTTTTGTGTTTGCTTTGAAACTTGTCTTGGCAATGCTTACTTCAAAACCTTCCTTCTGAGCTTTATCTCTTGCTTGAGGCTAAAATTTGAAAATTTTAGCGAATAGCACAATAACAGATAATAAATAAAAGCACCGTTGGTCAATAAACTACACTTCTGGCTATTCCTGTCATACTTCAGATTGCTACTAACATTTTTCACTGATTCTGCATAGTGCATGGACAGGTCCTTGGTAGAAAGTTCAAAATTAAAGACATTATCCTTTCATTACTTTTGTTTCTAAATTTGCATTATCCTTTAATCTACAAGGAGTGACAGAACATGTTTTCTTTAGAAAGAAATCCAAATTAAACTTCCTAAAGTGATCCATAGGACATAGGATATAGGATATACTTGAATGCTATAGCTAAAGGCGACTAGTTGCACATGAAATGCGAAAGCACTTACTAAAAATTTAAGATGCAGTTGGCAGGAATATTAGGAATATATAAAGCCTCCAAGAAAAGTAAGTATCACAGTATAATAGGAATATTCATGATTGAGAGATATACCTCAGTCAGTCCAACCATACTGATTTCTGGGTGAGTAAAACATGCTGCTGGAATGCTTAAATGATTCAGAACATGGTCATTCCCAGAAACTTGCTCAACAACTGCATCAAAGTCCAGAAGTTAATTTACGACTAAGAAAGACAGAGAATATCAAATTGCGTTAATTCTTTTATTCATCACCAGAAATTCCTTGCGCGCTTGCTGCATGGGCAAGCATCAGTTTTCCATTAGCATCACCAATGCAATACAAATGAGGAACCTAACAATATAATTGTGGGTGAGCAAAGGCTGCTGAAGCATGATTAAATGTTCAAAAACGTCAATGTGAAATTGAAGACTTACCAGCTTCCCGTTTGCATCAATTACTCTCATACGCTCATCAACAGGGACAAATCCTCGTTGTGTTTGCACATTTATCTGGACAGAACAAATAATTGATTTTCAAATTATAAAAATTAATTTCTAAGACGAGCATTCTTGTGCTGATGCCACAGTGTACTAACATTTTCCAAACCAAGTCCCTGAGTGAATGGGGCTCTTCCAGTGGCAATAAGAGCTGCATCTACCTGCAGAGGATCATACGGCTCATATGTGAGGTTCTAGAAGCATTACATATAGTATTCAAAAACAAACGGCTCAAGTTCAAATTATACAGACAAGTTTTGCATGCAGCAAAAGTAATGCAGTCCAAATATCTCGTGAGAGAGAATGAGAGCACCCAGAAAAAGGTTTCATTTACTTTTTACTGATATAATCTGGGAATTCATCAATTCAAATCTCATTTCCCATTATGTCAATGGGCCTCTTTCTCAGATTGCTGAAATGGGCCATAAGACTTCCCATAATATTTCAACTATATCAGGCAGCATATATTCCTCTGTAGAAGGGAAAGGGGAAACTTATTCTTCACTAATTCAATTGTAATAAACTCAGCAAGATCTCCACAACTTACCTCTAAAGAGTCCTTTGGCTCCTTTGTTTTTGCGTCAATCAACTCTATTTGTACCGGTTTTCCATCCTTTGCTGGAGTGATCTAATGAGGGATATAAATTTGTAAAACTTAAATTTATAGCTGGATATCTATGCTGGCTAATTTTTCCAAATCTAAAATGTAAATGCAACTGTCGAGCACCTTGCTAGCAAATACACCAGTGTGAGAATCAATCTTGCGAGTATTGATCAGAAGTCGTTGAGCTAATTTACCAATCTCAGGATCAAAGCCCGGCATGAGTTGATCCAAAGCTTCTATAAATGTAACCTGCACATATGAAGAGACTGAAGTCTTGGCTATCACCATTTACCATGAATCAAGGGTGTATATAGATGAACTCGTAGATTTCTTTTCAAGTAGTTCAAATTGACCCTCAGAAGTTGCGAAGCCATGATCATCAAAGATGGGGAAACAGAAGCTTTCTTTAAAAGGAAAAAAGAACAAATATCTCTTTTGCCCTATCCTTGAAGGATATTTAGTGTGCATAGATTAATCATTTAATGTGGTGCATAGGATGAAATTGGAATGTTATACCTCACTTCCAAGTGCTGTGTATACATCACTGAATTCTAGCCCAATATAGCCACTTCCAACAATAGCAATCCACTGTGGAACAAATTCCAATTTCAGAGCATGGTCACTAGTAATAACTGTTTTACCTGCAACAGGTGGAAATTATGTGATGAATGTATGCACCAGCAGAATAATATGCATCCGCAACTCAAATTATTAAACAGTAGAAAGTGAAGTAAATAAATCAAGACAAGCTACTACCATCAACTTCAATTCCCTTGGGCACCAACGGGACGGAGCCAGTAGCAATTATTATGTCTTTTGCGGTTATGGTCTTGTCTCCAGAATCGCCTTTTCCATATTTTAGCTTTTGTGGACCCTGAGGACAATGTATACTAATATAGTAATATGTTTGAAACAAAATTCCTAAGAATTCGAAATTATTGCAAACGTTCAGACCACAGAATTATGAGAATCAAAGGCATAGACTCACCAAGATTGTACCAACACCTGTCAATATATCAACACCAAGGGCTTTCATTGAATTGGTCAAGTTACTTCTTATTTTCGCAGCTAAATTATTTGCATGATCAGCAACTCCCTGTCTGTCATAGCTAGCAGCTGCAACCTATCATAATGGCACTAATTTATTGGTAAGCAGGTAACATGATTCAGTAGGGAAAAATAAAAAATAATGTTACAGAATGTAAATTATATATTATTATGCACTTCATGAAGTAAATGAACTTCTTCAGGAGGAAGAAACAAAAATAAAGTTAACGAAAATTTAATTAGAACCCAAACACATGTCTGACAGTTAGTATGACAAAATTATTTCTTCTAATTTGCATTAGTTTTTATAAAAAATTTTACAGGCACCGGCTGGATTTGTATACCAAATAGCAATAAAAAATCATTTGTCTAAACTTACTAAATATTATATATAATATATTATTGCATATTCATTTTCCAGTCTCTGCTGTTGTTAGCTTTGAAGTTAACAGGTAAGCATCCGTCATTTCTGGGAGCACCTCTTGGCAATAATAGCATAACTATGACTTCATCGTCACATGGACGATGAAGCTTTGTGTCATCACATAAAATACTATCAGCAGCATAGCTGAAATTTATACATGCTTATGCATTTATTGGAATGATTGAGACCTGCAAACCAAAAGACTTCATATGGTGTTCATTTTGAAGCTCTCTCATACGACCACTGACTGCAAGAAGTGCTTTCGACGGAACACAGCCCCTATTTACACATGTTCCTCCAATTACATCCCCTTCTATGATTGCAGTTTTCAAGCCCTGTAATTCATAAATTCATTTTTCTGATGAATGTCCAATAAATAATCAGCATGGAAACTCTGAAACTATCACACTACTGAAAAAAAATAATCAGCAAATTCATGATGGAAGATAATATTCACACCAACACAAGATTCTCAACCAATTAGCTCAGCGTATTCATGGCAAAAGCACAAAACGTTATCACTTATCACAGAGCGACAAAATAGTTGCCAACTGATTATCTCTAGGCATACATGGATAGTTTTCAACAGGAAAATGCTTGTTCATATGGATTTTAGCTGTAAAATGAGAAAGATAACCCATCTTTCGACTTTTATATATCTCTTTACAGCATCAGATATGAAGTCTCTCAGTCACAAAGTATACTAATTATTCAAACAACGAAAGGCCAACGCTTAGTATCACGTGGAAGGTCCGCATGAGTATTGAAGAACCAAGCTAGCTGAATCTAACCAACATTATAGGGCTCATGTTTCAAACGGCAATATACAGAGGACTTCCAACATTTCCATTAACACGCTAAAACCACACATGGAAACCCAAAATTTTTAGTCACCAGGCAAAAGCCTGCGAAAACAGTGTTACCTTCTCAACAGCATGAAGCGCCGCGCCATGTCCGCCAACTCCAGCTCCGATAATCACGAGATCGTAGTCAAATCCACCGGACGACGGCGTCCCATCGCCTTTCAATGCCGCAAATACTCTGCCACGATTCAGACGCCTCGCGTGCAAATTCAATTGGGGCGAACGCAGGGACGACCGGTCCAACGACGTTTTCGGAACAAACGCCTCCCTACGGAGACCGCAGAACCGGAAAGAGCGAGGAGGCGCCGGCAGATGCACGTCACCGGGGTTGCTGATGGCGAATCTGGCAACCGGCGACGGTGAGGAGAGAGATGCAGAAATCGCCTGCATTTTCCGAGAGCAGTAACTGTCTGGTGTGAGTAGCTCGAGTGTGTGTGTGTGTGTGTGTGTGAGTGCGAGAGAGAGAGAGACAGAGAGAGAGAGAGAACAGTTGGGTTTGGAGCTTTGTTGGGTCCGTTGAGGGTTGGCGGAGTTTACGAAGAGAGACTGTTTTGGGTTTTGAAACAAACTGTTAA